CCTTTTTTTATTCTCCGTTTAATTTTTAAAAATCATGAGATTTAAAAAAAGACTACACATTTTGAGAACTTGTGATTATCCCGTAAATTCATTATTTTTAAAAACTGTGATTTTTTGTAACATTTATAATTTTTAAATTTTACCAACTTTTTTAATTCATGATAATCTTTTAACATTCACAAACGTTTTTCGTATTTGACAAATATTTTTCAAGTATGCGAACATTTCAAAATCAGCAAACGATTTTCAAACTAATAAATCACATGGTTATGTGGAAATGGAGCAACAGGAAATTGACATAGCTCTATTATTATACTTGCTGCGCCATTTTTGCCAGCGCATTATAGTGAAATGGAACAAAAGGAAATTGACAAAAAGTCATGGTTAATTAGTTCGTGGTGCTAATTATTCAAAAAGAATTTTTTCTTACAAGTTTTCACCTAGCTTCATCATTGCTACAACAACTAGTAGTTCTGCTGCTATTCAGCATCGCAATAACGCTAGTGGTTCTCCTCAAGCCTCCATCCATACATGATGAAAAGTTACTAGGCCAAGAAAAGACAAGAAAACGCATTAGGCTAGCCCAAAAAGGAAAACAAACGTGATACAACTAGGATGACATCAGCTGAGGTGAATGAGACCATAGTTAGTCTCAGCTAGATGAGTTCTAGCCATCCCATTTCCTTTTTATCTACCAAGCTAATCTAAAATGTTTTAGAAAAAAAATCACCAAGGGATATATCAGTACTAAAATATATTTAGATACATCAGTAGATATATCTAACACTGAAATACATTTAGATATATTTGCTTGAATAATTATATTTGCTTGGGACGGAGGAAGTGCCGAGCAAATTGGAAATGTTTCAAAGGCATAGGCCTCTTTGGCTTGCAGGAACTTTGTAGGATAGGTTTTCATAAGTTCATAGGAATGGATTTCTATATTATTATGTAAGATTAATTCCTATCTTTCACAATACAAGAAAAAGCATATTGCTCCTTTTTTCACATTTAAAAAAACGCTTAGATTATACTCCCTCCGTCCCAGAACAGTTTTTAGATGGAGGTAATACTTCTTTTATGATAAATAAGTAAACCCTTATTTCTTTTGGGTTTTACCTTCACACTTTGCATATGCCATCTTTTATGATATTTGGAAGGTACCAAATTATTTCGCACTTTAGCCTAAGCCTACCTACTTGTGGTGCAAGCCAAACCTATTAATTTGGGTAAAATTGTCTTGCAAAGGTCACAACAAGTTTGGGGTAAGGTAGATCCGAATTCGTTTTCAAATGATTATAAATGATTACAAACCTCACACCAAGGACTACACCAATTACTAGAGTCAACTTTGGCAATCTAAAGAGACAAGAATGAGACATCTAAGGTAATTTTTTAAATGGAAGCCAAAACATATATTTGGGAGCAGAGAATGGAGGTTCCCATATAGAGGTAGTATTATGAAAATATTTAGCCTGGGCCACCGAGCATAACCAACCTATTCAACTATGGCTTGCACTTAGAAACCCCTCTACGGGTAGTTGCACCAAGTGGGCGATCTCCGAGATCATACAGCCTCTTGAGTCCTGCACATGTATAACTTGACATGTTCTCAACTGCCTCCTAATCCAAGAGTAACAAGAAAACATAAAGTCACTTGCCAAGAGCTCTTTGAAAGATCTTCAATTGAAACTTCTTCAACAATCCATAGGAATACTCTCTCACAAGAATAAGATCGTGGTGAAAGAAGTGATCATGAGGTGTAGGGATTCAATAAAGGTAAGTTCTTGGCATTCAAAGAATCAAAGAAGTGAACAAGAAATCACTCAAGACGTCTTCTCTTCTCATGTTGCCTTCGATATCTTTTCCTCTATGTGATAGATGGATGGAGTGGTGTGGAGTGGCTTGCAAGGGGTGAAATGAGTGAGCGAAATAACTAAGCGTGTAACGGAATGGTTATGTCGTTTGCAACAATGTAGGGGCATGCGAGGAAATTTATAGAGAAGATCCAAGAATCTAACTATCACTTGATGGCTCGGAAGCACTAGAAGTTGAAATGGCGGAACATTTCAAATAAATTTGAACAACCAGGGCAACGTTTGGGAACCAACTAGAAACACATCACTCGAGACTACTTGTTGAGAACAGGGTGGTGGTTTTGAATGAAAAAAGGCAGCTCTTTTCTACCAGAATAGAGAAACTCGGAGGTACTAGGTAAAACCAATTTATCTATAGTACCATACTAGACAGAGCAATTCTTAAAAAGAAATTGCAGAAAAATGCTAAGCAACTACTCGAAAGTTGTAGAAGAAAAAATGGTGTAGGTACTGAACTTATATTGTGACTCACAAAGAAGCAAACCGAGATGAATTGGAAGTGCCAATGGCAAAAGTTATGCTCATATGCGTCGGGGCAAACAAAGAATGTTTCAAGGTGGATTGGCTCGGCAGTTTGGGAACAAAAATAACAACAGTTCTGGACTGTGGACTCAGGGTTTGTTCTCTAAGTATGAATAATTCTTAGTAGCTTGGTAGTACCGGAAGATAAATCTTTGAAAGTACTATGCTTTAGAAAAACTCGTACAAAGAATAGCTAGGGAATGGATTGGAGTACTTTGACTTAGGGCTATTTCTTGGATTTATAACCAAATTATATTGCTTGTGCCTCTCTTCATAGTACATTTATCCTACACCCTATGTGAATCGTTGGATTCACAAAAACCCTAGAAAGTATAAACTAAGAGTTTGATGTAGGCAACAGCTTGAAAAGTATAAGGCAATGGTGACTAATGACACTCAACTTATAGCAAAGGACCCGAATAAGAAAATAAGTCTTAGTTCATGAAATAGACTCATTGAAATCACTAGTCATCTCAATTGGTTTTGTCATCAAGTACCGAAACAAATTGGTATCTTGGAGATGCTTTTCACTTAGGTGTTCCTACAGATATACGTGTTTCTAAGGATCAACTAGAAAAAACTTAAAACTTACATAATC